GAGACCTCGCCGAAACGTTGCCAAGACAATCTCAATCTTACACGGGAAAAGACCCGAAAACAACAAGACCAGCATACCTATACCCGTGAAAATCTATGAAAACAAATACACACACACACAGATAGATATAGCATGGTAACTTTTGCATAGATGCACCTTTCCATTCAGTGATTGCTGCATTCTCATGGGGGCAATGCATGGAAAGGAATCACAGGCGAGGCTTCAATCTCCTGAAATGACAGGAGCCCCAAAAAAGAGGTTTCCAGATTCTTTCTGGAAAACATAAATGGCCTCATGGTTCACTTTTCCTGTCTTTGTGTGCAAGCTTATCTTTTGCCCCTCACCTGCCAGCCCCGAATGCAAGGCCCATATTGGAAAGATTTAAGATATTGGGGAATCTTTTATGAGGTGCCTCTCAGGTTTGCCAGAAGAGATATAAAAAAAGGGAGGGGGAAAGAGTCAAGATTACTGCAAAAGCATGTATTTCTCAATGATATAGTGCAGGGGTCCCCAACCTCTGGGCCGCAGCCCACTAGTGGGCCATGAGCTGTTTGTAACTGGGCCACAGGAACAGTGAGCACGCACACACATCCCACTTCAATGAGCAGCAGGTAAGCGGATGCACATGCACTCCATTTGCATGAGGGGCAGACATGTGCACACACACACAACACTTGCACAGAACCACCACCACCACCCTCTCTGGAAAGGTTGGGGAACTGTGATATAGTGAAGTATTAATGCATTGCTTCTAAATGACTGAATCTGCTTCTCTTGCCTGTTTTTTTATCCCTGGTTCAAATCGTCTTCTGCTTATGATTTCATTTCGCCTTCACGAACCCACCCTGATGTTGTTGCTGCCCCCAGAACGCCAGTGGAACATGTGGATCCCAGGTTTTGGCTCTGAAGAAATCAGGCCATATAAAAAAGCCTGCACTACAGAAGCTCACAAACAGGTAAGGATTGCTTCTCCCCTCCCACCTAAGTGAAATGATGTGATGTGGAGCAGATACTTTCTGCTCCATGAAAACCAATGATAAATGGCAAGAAAAGGGAATATCTCAAATGAAAAATAGAGCTTGCTGACCAGTTGAGATTTCATGCCCCATTTATATTGTTCCAATTCCACCTTAGCTTTTGTAAAAATCATGATGCACGATGCCCCCATGCCTTTCCTTAACTGCTTATATGATTTAAGTATAAAAAAACTAGTATCTTCTGAGCAGCACACTTTTTCCCACTTAAATCATTGCAGTTCTATTTATTAAAAGAGAAAAATTTGGGGGAGTGTGGTTCTAAACCAGAGCTGCCTATCCTTAAATTGCTATTTGGCCTCTGGTTCAAATTCCTAGCGCCACATAATGGAGTGAGCTCCCGTTACTTGTCCCAGCTTCTGCCAATCTCGCAGTTCGAAAGCACATAAACATGCAAGTAGAAAAATAGGAACCACCTTTGATGGGAAGGTAACAGTGTTCCATGCACCTTTGGTGTTTAGTCATGCTGGCCACATGACCATGGAGACGTCTTTGAAAGCACTGGCTCTTTGGCTTTGAAATGGAGATGAGCACCGCCCCTTAGAGTCAGGAATAACTAGTATATATGTGCGAGGGGAACCTTTACATTTACCTTTTAGTTTAACTTATCAAGTCTAATGGAAGTTGTCCACACATATCTTCCCCTCATCCCCCAAGGTCATCCACAACTTCCATTACATCAAGAGACCCATCTTCACGCTGTCTTTCTTCCCCCCCCCTCCTTTTCAGAGAATGGCATTGATCCGCAAAACAACCAAGAAATAACTCTGGGAAAAGACAGAGAAATTAAAAGGAAGAAGAAGAAAAAAGACTCTTCTATGAGAAAAAAGAAAAGTCTGCCTCTGAAGCTGTGGAGTACCCTTGAGTTCATCTATGGAATATTTTTTTTATTTTTATTTTTTTGCAATGCTTCACAGGGAAGCGTATACTTTCACAGTGCAGCAATAAAGGGTTATTAGAGAAGATCTGCCAACCATCAATAGGTCTCTTCACCCCTATTCCCCCAAAGGAACTTATCTCGGAGCATAAGACTTTTATTTTCCTCCTCCTAAGTGATATTACGGTATCCACGATTGTCCAAGGGATTAAAATATTTTGCTATTTTTGAGAACAGTATTAGAAGTGGCCATAGATGATTTTTTTTCCATTCCCGCCCCCCCTTACTTGTTGCTATTTACGGTATTTGGACTTCTTTCAGAAAAATGAATGATGGGTCTCAAAAGCAGACCGCAGTATTGACAGGCGCTTCAGTTGAAAGCAGATTCCTTTTTTTTTTTAATTTAACGCTCAGGATGGCGTTGGGGAAAAGTTGAATTCTTTTTGTACCACGAGCCCTGTAAAAATGCAGTAGAAACAAGACTTGAACTACAAAATCAAATTAAAAAAAAAAAAACAGTCTGCAGGCATGGTTAAGCCGCCTTATTTGTTCCCAAGATAATATAGTCTTTCTGACAAACGGCTGGGGAGTTGGGATCGCTCACCCTTCTTCGCCTCCAGAGGTTTTTGGTACAATCTGTGGTTGGTTCTTTTCTCTTTTTTTCCCCTTCTCCTGTAAGAGTGAGTGAAATACACCTTTTGACCAGATGCTGGCACACTCTTCCCAGGAAGGTTCTGAATTCTTAAAAGCACACTTTGACATCCAGCATTTTACTGGCGTAGAAGTATTTGCTGCTTCAGATATTTGTGCATTGTGAAAACAACTTCACTGCTTCTGGGAGGGGAAGGTTGTTTCTGAAGCAGACACTTGCAGAAAGTGTGTAACACGCCCCCCCCCATCCCAACTTCACACGTGATAAGCTACATTAGAGCAGCCGAGGGGGTGCTTGGCCAATACTCTCTGAATTGAGGAAACAGCCATTGATTTGGGCTCCCCATCCTCATTGTCTCTTGTTCTCTCTAATATAAGTTCTGACTGCATCAGCTTTGCCTTGAGCCCATCCAGCAGGGACTTTTAACAGAAGGACTTGTGTAAAGTTTCCACTAGTTGAAAATGTAACAAATAAATGAATACCCTATGTATCTGCTTTTCTAAGGTGTCTCGTGAATTATGCCAAGGTGACAACCACAATTACTGAGTGCTTTGAATAAGAAAATGACACTAACAAGCTGGGAAGGCCACAATGCTTCTCCTACTAAGGAAATCCAGCTATGGATAGTGTGAAACATTATTCTTATATTCCTATCTTCCCTTTTCTCAGAGTAATGCTTGGCGTAGAAGGGATATTAGCTCTCATTTAATCCACAGAAGCTACAGAATTGAGAAATAACGAGCAAACTAGAAATAATTTGGAACTTCGCAAAGGGGATTGGAGATGTACCTTCTCAAGATCCACTCCACCTCTTTAACCCAGTGTTTCTCAACCTTGGCAACTTAAAAGATGTATTTAATTCAACTCCCAGAATTTCCCAGCCATCACGCTAGGGAAGTTGCCAGGGTCGAGAACCACTGCTTTAACCAACATCGACACGTGGACTTACGTTCTATCTCTCTCGTTGTTAAAGCTGCCCATCTTGCGTGGACCCTTTCATCGTTTTGCCTCTGGGATTAGCCACTGACCTGCACCCAGTTTTTGGCCCTGATCAGGAGCTATTATCGGTGGAGACATTTCCATGTGATACAGGAGATATTTTCATGCAGGGCTGCTGATGTACACTTGCTTGTTTATGGGATTTAATGGAAGCTGTAGAATGCCATATTCATAGTCCAGCTTCTAGTGCATTCTTTGGATTTTTTTGTTTTAATTGAGGAAAGATGATTTAAGGAAAGAAGATGGAATAACCACTGAATGGATTTAAATTAGCACATTTAATCTGCTTTCCTTCATCCAGGTGTATTAAGATGGAACTCCCACCACTTCTAACGGGCAGCCATGCCACTGATACATATGTGTGTGGGCTGCACCCATACCCTGAAATGGACTGTTTATTTTAAATGCACCTGCAAAACCAACGTAAGGTGAAATTATGGGTACTTAAAAGTTACTGTTGTGACAACAAATACCATACTTCAGAGTCAGTTTCTCCTAATCCTGATACCAACAACTTGTAATTCCATTTGTCTTTTAAAAGCCAATGTCATCTGCATAGATCTGGAACGTAGGAATCGGAAATAACATCAGTTTCATTGTCTTTAGTGTCTATATTCTTTGTTACTGAAAGCTAAATTCATTACCAATAAGAAGCATGGAAAAAACTCCCTCCTCCTTATGCCTGGTCGAATATTTTATAGTTGTCATTTGGTATTCCAGGAAACTACAACAGGTTCTCCTCTCCCCCCCCAAATCAAATTCTTAGCCCTTAAAAGTTGAAATATATTTACATCATTATTGAATCCCTGTGGAATTAAACATGTTTTAACTTGTTAAGTCTGCAAAGTACCTCTTTCCTCTTTAAAGCTCTTGTGTGTACTTCATTTGTTCTTGTCTGAAGAGGAAAGCCCAGGAAAATTACAAAGGAAAGGTGACAGTATGAGTGAAACAAGCAGTGCCACTTAATAAAAGTTTTACCTGGAAGAGATTTATTTCAAACTCTACTACTTTACATTTGTTGCTGGGCTTGGCATTAAAGAGAGCATCATAATAGAGAGAGTAAGTTTATATGAAATGGCACCAACTGCCAGTTCTGATTTTACTTTACAAAAGCAGGAAACGGGGCTCTCTTTCTCCCCCCACCCCACTAACCACATGATAAAGTGCAATCTAAAATCTGCCACTTAAACTGGAGTAAATGAGTTGCTTACCAGTCAGATTAGAAAGCGATATACTGTATGGTACTGAGTTCGTTAGATCAGTGTTTTTCAACCTTTTTTGTGCAAAGGCACACTTTTTTCATGAAAAAAATCACGAGGCACACCACCATTAGAAAATGTTAAAAAATTTAACTCTGTGCCTATATTGACTATAGGCAGGTGTTTTTCCCACGGCACACCTTACACTATGTCACGGCACACTAGTGTGCCGCGGCACAGTGGTTGAAAAACACTGTGTTAGATGATGCTTATGTCTTGTCATATTTCAAGCTGACACTTCACTGGAGAATCAGACACAGCAAATTTTGAAGCAGTGTAAGAATGTGTTAAACAAGTATATCAAGGACAACGTATTGTATTGGCTAACCTTTTTGTCTCACGCACACCCATAATGCATGTGTGACCTCCCCATGCGCCCTGATCTGTGCATGCGCACACAACCCCTTGTGCTCCCCCACCCACACGCATGCATGCAGCACAACCTCCCATGTTCTCTCCACATATGCATGTGTGACTCCTGCATGCATCCCACCTCCTGCACAAAGACTGAAAAACCAGCTGGCTGGCGGGAGACCCGTGTGCATGCGCAGTGGAGCTCAACTGGGACGAGGGCTCGTTTGCCCGCAGAGGAGGGCTCTGCGTGCCACCTGTAGTACACGTGCCATACGTTCCCCATCATGGACTTAAACCATAATAGCTTAGTCAACAAATTATGGCTTCACAGCTCACAGTGTAGCATAATGTGTAAATTCTTTTGCAAAATTGTCAACACAAGAACGGTTGTCCCGATGGCAACGTGGCTCTCGTCTTTAGCTAGCAAGAGCACTTCTTTCTCTTTTCCTGAGCAGGAACCTCTGATTGAACTGGCGCTGGCAGTTTGGTTTTCACTCCATCCCACTGTGGACCAGGTTTCATCACCCCACTTTTCAAGGCCTCGTAGATGCCCAGAGTTAACATTTGGAAAACTGCCTCCACATTACGGCTGCTTTTCGCTGAAGTCTCGATATACTTTGCTTCGAAGGAAACAGCCAGCTTCTCAGCCTCCTTTTGTCCCACTTTCCGTTCAGCCTCCAGGTCGCTCTTGTTCCCCACCAGCACGAAAACTGGGCGGTGAGGCTTGACTGTGTCCACCACTTCCTGGTGCCAGCTCCTGATGTTCTCAAATGATGCCCGGTTGGTTAGGTCAAACATCAGGACTCCCCCAGCTGCGTTACGATAGTAGGAACGTGTCACTGACCTACATCACAAAAAGATTTTGAGCATGGAAATGTTGCAAGAAGCCAGAAAAATAGAAATAAATAGGAGTAGAGTAGAACAGAATAGAACAGAACGACAGAACAGAATACATGGAATGGAACGGAACAGAATAGAATAGAATCAGAAAGGAACAGAACAGAATACAATAGAATTAGAACAGAATTCTTTATTGGCCAAGTGTGGTAAGACAACACAAGGAATTGGAACAGGTTTCCAAGCTATATTTGAGTTCAACAAGAAACCAAGGACAAATCTATCTTTTTCACCCGAATGGAGTCAGGCACTTCCATTTCTATCTTTCCTAAGGAAAGTAATTGCTTCCCAGTCAATGGAGATTGCTTTATTTGGCAAAAACATTAATTTTCTAATTTTATTTCCAGTTTAATGCTTGTTGTTTTCTAAACATTAATTTTGTATTTACAATATGCACCTTTCTGTTTACAGTTACAATACCTGGAGAAACTTTCTGGGGACATTATTTGGGGCATCTATGTTTATGAAATTCCAATGACTTTTAATTTATACATTTGCATAAACACATTAGAATGAGAACAAGTCTTGTTTTCATACCCTATTTTCTATCACCTGGATCAGGGATTCCAGATTCTTTTTAAACAAAACTCACAACTTCCAGAACCCCCAAAAGATTAGAAACCCCCTGAATGAAAGCATTCAGTCAAATTAGCCAACTTAAACTAAGCTTTATGAGCCACGGGAGTACAGTGGTTAGAGTGCAGCACTGCAGGCTACTTCAGCTGACTGCAATTCTGCAGTTCGGCTGTTCAAATCTCACCAGCCCAAGGTTGACTCAGCCTTCCATCCTTCCGAGTTGGGTAAAATGAGGACCCAGATTGTTGGGGGCAAGAGGCTGACTCTGT